TGCGGCGACGTGGAGGAACCCAGATTTGAGAATTCATAAAACGCTTCCAGAGCACTCCAGATACGGGAAAAGTGATTAATGTCAGTGATGGGTCATCGGTTAGGAAGCGCGAGCACACCGTTGGGGCGAGCGCGGGAGTTCTGGGCGGGGCTAATCGAAAAACGCTTTGGAACGTTCCCAGAGCAGTCCAGACACTGGCGAACAGGGCGCCGCCATGGCGTTGTGATCATTTCCTGAAAAATACGACCCCCTCCTCTAATTCCATTTTCAAGTACGACCCCCTCCCACCATGTTACCTCTTCCTTAAATTTTCAACCTCCTCCACTTTGTCTATTTTTCCCAAAAAATTCTGGTTTTTTTTTACAAACTTTGCTGTCGAGCGGGGGGGGGAAGGTCGCAGTATCTACGTGCGTCTCAAGCACGTCCAGCATTCTGGCGCTGATGTGGCATACTGACATATTGTACGAGGAGGGCGATGATAGGCGCTACGATCACCGCCCACAAGGACACCATGAATTTATAAACAAACAAAAGCGACTCAAGACGTGACGATTAATGAACAGATGAAAGTACATTCCCGGACTTTTCTGATCGTAGGAGCACATTTGCTTGCAATTGGGAGCCTTGTTTAGGAGTTACACCTTTCAAACACCAGCGAAAGCCCATGCACGGTGCGTTGCAGAGGTGATGCAATTGGCGCCCAATGGCCTATTTCCTGATACTCTTTGCGAAAACATGTGGTTTTAGAAGCATACCAAAGTCTTTGGAGGTTTCACGGCCTCGGGGGCTGATTTTTTCGTGTCGTGGGGGGGGGGGGTCACGAAATGATCACAACGGGAATTTTTCAAATAGCAGGTCTAGGAAGAAAAATTGAAGCCTTGCTGGAAAGTAGGAAATCTTCAAGCTTCCGGCACAATTTTTTTTTACGAAAGGGCGTGTATGAAGTTTGCCATGGACGTCTAAAGCGTAGCGACTCGCGGTTTCGCAAAAATGATCACAGACGGATCACAAGGATGATCACAACGGGGAAAATCTCTGGAATCGGAACGTTTTTAAAATCGCTCAATTTAGGTGACAAGAACCAACCTAGCTCTACTCATTCCACCTACACTTTCGAGAGCTTCGCTTTTACGAAGTTATGGGTGTTCAAGTGAGGGGTACTTTTTCACGGTGTTTGGCTTGAAATTGGCTCCAGGCCGTAAAATAGCGCGCCAATAAGCTTGTTTTTTTTTTTTTTTTTTTTTTTTTTTTTTGATTTTTTTTTTTTCTAGGAGGGCCGTAAAATAGCGCGCACCAATAAGCTTGTATGAGCCCGCTGACCGCGAACAGCCAAAATTCAAAAAATCCATAGTTCCGGTTCCCAGCTGGCCTGGTGATTTTTTTTTCTTATCGATTTGATTGTGAATTACTTTGATTGTTTGTTTTTGTTAAGTTTGATTTTGTTTTGTTGTGTTTGATTTTGTTGTGAGGAAATTGCTCGGGATTCAATTTCTACGGTCTCGTAGGTAGCTTTTGCAGTGGATTCTTTTCTAGATTTTGCGGATTAGTGGATTGGGATTTATCTAGACCAGATGAGGAGAGTTGTTGGGCGAAGTGTCTTGAAGTTTTTTTGTGAGGGTGTCTTGAAGTTTTTTGTGAGGAAGGAGGAAAAAGTTTCAGCAGTATTTTTTTTACTTCTTGGCCTAGGAATAGTTCGATAGTGCCTAGTTCTGTTTATTGTCGTCTACATCGTCCCTTTTGAGCTTCTTTTCACTTGTACCGTGTGTCACCGCTCTCTCCACTTCAACATGGGCCATGTGTTTACGACCCACCCCCGCCTCCATCGAAGGCAAATACGACCCCCCCCCCGTTGTGATGATCACAAAGATGGCGTGCCCTGCTGGCGAAAGGTGAGCAGTGTGCAAGTCCTCAGCCACTGGAAGGAGATAGACCCGCCCACTGTGGGCGAAGCAGGTGTCGAGGTGGGAGGGGCAAAAGTCACAAATTCACGAGTTGCTTGCAGAGCAGTATATGTACCAGGGACATGTGGACTGAAGGTCGCAAGGGGGTAGTTTATGGAATGGAGCAGACTTCCTCGAAATGGGCGGATCGTACTCGAGATAGTGCTTGCTACGAAATTTTATATTTCGGACCTGAGGGACTTTAGGGATCAGAAAAAGTCGTTGGAGAAAAGAATCATACAGCGAGAATTGAGTGTGTCTGTGGTTTATAGAGACCCGTCCACAGTGGGTTGTTGCGCCTTCAAACACAAACTGCCTACTTTTACTGAGCTTCAACGCATCGGCAGCCATGCACTTAACCACCGGTCGTCGCAAATGCATTCGATACCAGTCGGCTCGCTGGCTGACGCCGACGCGCCTCTTTTGTGACACGGCCCGGCCTTACAGGGCGGACGTAGCTGCGTCTACCCTACCTGCTTTCGTACATTCGAATGCCGCGACTGGGACCCGGCTTTCTGTCATCTCTGCACTTCATCAATGCTTACCATAATGTCATGCGTAGTAATTGTGTTGAAAATAGCGTGTGAGGTTATTGGACAAGGAGCGTTGGTCATCTTCAGACAAAAGAAGAGCCGCATGGCAGTTGCGCATAAACATGTGGAAGAAGGGAAGCGCGGCGAAGCCGCACCTGCTCGGCGTACCGGGGCGTATCACAGGAGTATCAGCCGGCTAGTTGAGTGCTAAATAAATAATTGGAATATAGAGTGTTCAACACGAGCACTGGATATCTGGTCTTTCCTTGATGAAATCTGAAACCAGTATTGAAGTTATAAACGAACAGCTGCTTTCACTCATCAACTCTTTTTTTCAAATTACTGCACCACGGTGACGGCCTTTTAGTCATTACTGCAGAGACGAGCTTGAGTCATTTGTAGATCCACTGCGCGCAGTTATGGTACAACAGTATGCTGAACGTGGCTTACCTACCAAAATAGCTCCTGCGATTTGAGGACTTGCGGTTCCGAAAAACTTTTCTAGGGAGTATCACTCACCCGTGTACGGCTCGCGCTTCCTTTGCTCTTGTTTATGTGAATGATCTTAGTTGAACTAGAAGGGTTTGAAAACAAAGTGAATAATAAAAAAGAAAAAAAGACTGAAAATCTGCTACATTGTGTAAAAACCTTTGTGTAAAAACCTTTCTCGCACGGTGTGGCCCGCATCCCTGCGGCCATGCAATTAAGTGCGCCTAATACCATCAAAACGACAGAGGAACACTTGAGGATGGGGCCGTCGACTTTTGTGAAGTTAGTTGAGCTCTGAAGACAAAGGAGCTGACAATTTTCCTCATAAGCACACCGGGGTCGTTCCCGAAAGTACTGAGTGGGGAAGGCGCGAAACATTCCGTTACAAGATGTTCATGATAGTGCCTATAAACATGATATTTCAGTTGTTTCTCAACGTCTCCAGGTGACATGTTCTGGGCATACGTCATTCCCGGCTGGATTTTGATTTTCATGGCAGGACTCCAATCTCAGTTAAGCTGTCTAGCATGCGACAAAACTACAGAAGCGCAAAATCAGCATCAGTGCTTCTGGGCAAAGTTCAGGGCATTTCGGCATTTTGTTCTTGCTTATGATTTTTGTATATGTTCCCTTTCGCAGAATACATATTCAGGAAATCGGCAAAATCACTTCTGATTTTCGCGCTGCTTCTCTTCACTCTCTGGCTCCTTGTCCTTTCTGCTGGAAACGAGCAGGTACGCACAACAAATCGAAAGAGAAATGCCGACATAGTCGCCTCTGAGAGAAAGCGGCAATTCCGCCTTATATTTACGATGGCAAATGTTTGTGGGCGTTTCTGACTGTGTAGGAAGAGGCTAGGAAGGGAGATAAGCGAATGATATTCCACACTCACCAACTTTTTTCTCGTTTAATGACCCTTGGGAGTGAAAGGAATTGTTTCCCAAGGGAACCGTGAAGGCATGAAGCGACGTCTGAGGAGCTGCGCTACTTCTTTCTCCTTAAAAATTGCATACGGGTTGTTGGGAAATACCGCGGATAATGTTTTAATTTTTTCTTTGCTGCTTGTATTCCGCGGAAAGGAACAGCAAAGTAGTGCAGGTGGGGAGCGACGAAGGCTAACTAAAGGCCATTCCACGATGACCGAATGTACTCGGAAGGAGGCGAGCGAGCAAAACCTTCGCCCTTTTCCCGTGGTGCTCCAAACCATAGCATGTCAAGGCGGAGACAGTATATGAGGAAACCACATTCGTGAAGAGTTCCGCTCATTCGATCATCGCTGGTTTACTTTGATAGAAGTTTTTCCCCTAATAACGCCAATCTTTCTCCAAGTTGTTATCACAAGAATGCTGAGTTATGGGCAAAAGTCGTGCTCAGGTGGGAGTCGAACGCGCACCTCACGCTTTCCGGACGAGTGCGCTATCCAACGGCACCAGGGCCGCTTTTACCCTCACAGCTTAACGGCTTTTATGCCGTAGCCTTACAGCACTTAGATGTTTAACTTGGTGAGCCGGTCAGCCGTAATCGGTAGATATCGGCATGGAACCACGAGGCCGGAGGCTTTACAAGTTTTTGAAGCTGTTTTGTTATGATATCAGCCGATATCTAACGATTACGGCTGACCGGCTCACCAAGTTAAACGTGTGAATGCTGTAAGGCTACGGCATAAAAGCCGTTAAGCTGTGAGGGTAAAAGCGGCCCTGGTGCCGTTGGATAGCGCACTCGTCCGGAAAGCGTGAGGTGCGCGTTCGACTCCCACTTTGGACACGGCTTTTGCCCATAACTCAGCATTCTTATGATGACATTCGGAGCGCGAACTGCGGCGTTAAACAGCAGTTATCATAACAAAACAGTTTCTCCAGATTGTTTATCTATTCGTTCTGGTGTTTATTGTGACTCTGGTTACTGGACCGGTGATCTTCGTGGTTCACACTTTCTGTCATTTGAATGTTAGTTTTTCCTGGGTAATACACTTCAAACAAACAGCGTATTTCGCTAATGATTCCTTGATCAGAGTTGCGAGAAATGGGGCGGAAGCGGCATGTTTGGAGCGTTCTACAGAGTTTGTCCTAAAAAACCAGAGCCGGAATCAAAACCGAAACCGGAGGATGATGCCGAAGACGACCAGCTTACTCCCCAAACGGTACGACTTCTACGGAAGGACTAGCTCCAGCAGTTGAGCATGCGCCATTTTTACAGAAAACCTTTATCTTCACTAGTGCCTCGCTTGTCTTGGGAATCCGAGTTAAAATGTACCTGATTCAGCATGATTCGAAAGAAAAAGAAGCCGTTCCAGAAAAGGTGCTACCTCCAGGAGTCACCGAGCCGTCAGTCGCTCCTCCTCTCCCGGAAACCAAGGTTTCCTTTTACTGCTAACGTTTCTGTTTTGTATTATAATTTTCGTTTGTACACATAGCTTACAGATAGTATGAGAGATTGTATGAGAAAGTGAGGGGGGGGAGAAATGAGCAAGGACCCCGGTCACTACGTCTTCTTGTTAGGGGAATCTTCCATGGTATTGGGTTGGCGTAACAGTTTTTGAAATTCAAATACTTGCTCCTAGTTTGAAGAGGTGTGATTACATTACAGTGCTCACCAAGATTAATCAGCTGATAGTTTTTCAAATATAAATATTCAGGATGAGCCTGTCCATACTGAAGCTACGCATTTCTATTCGTGGTTAACTTCCTCGGACGCCAGAGCAAAGAGAGCCAGTGACGTTCTTTTCCGTCCGAAATTGGCATGAAGGACAAAAAGTGCAAAAGCAAGAAGGATTGTTGGGTGCACGAACCGACGTACGATACGAGCCTATCTCCTTCATAATACTATGTCTGGTGAAATATCTTAATAAACAGACGGACATTGGAGTTTAGGTTGTAATAACCAGTGGATTAAGCTATTGTGTACTAGGGTTGTCCCAAAAGTTCGTGGAACTTTCGAACATTTTTTTCGAGTTAATTTGTTCCAGTGAGAAGCAATTCTGATCATTAATATATATGTATTTTCATTAGCAGCTTGTTGCTAACCACCACGCAATGAGTGGTTGCCTTGCTTCCAGAAGCTTCTTGGCTCTGTGCCCAAGCTGGGTCATTTTCGAAGTACTATCAAAATTGTATTTTTCACCCAGAAGATGGCCGATGTGGGATTAGTCTGGATGGTGATCGGAAAAGTTAAGTCAGGGCTACACAAAAACTGTGGTGGATTCTCCAGCTAAGCTTCAGGATCTCGAGTAGTTTCATTTTCCAAATGTGTGACCCTGAGCTGTGGTGGAGTAAGCAAACGTTGCTCGGTTTTGGGACCAAATGGTAGCGATTTTCAACCCATCACTGCAATTGATTACAATAGGGCTCCCTGGTTGGAAGGAAGAAATTCCGTTTTGAGAACGGAGAAAGAAATCCCACCACATAACCTCGTCATCCGGGCAGTTGATTAGGGCGGTCATCAACGGGCCGCAGCGCGTGCCAGGAACTATTTGCTTTTTCCAGGCTAATTTACAGTGCAGTTCTCAGCGGACGGTGGGGCGGTCCTAAGGCCACGCTGGCGAGCGGCCCGAAAGTTGCCTGTCGGTGGATGGCCGCAAAAACCTTGCCTCTGCTTCTCTTACTCTGCACTCTGCGCTCTACCACACGCTGCCGCACCGTTTACCCACTCTTCCGCTCTGGGCTCTTACCGATCGATAATTGCTCTCGATCAGCTGATTCCTGCCGCATTTTCGCAGTATTTTTGCTAGATTCAGCTTGTTAAAGCTGAAATTTTTCGACTTTTGTCTTCAATGTTCGAAGGTGAGTATTCTTACTAAAATTATATCACATTTTGCATGAATTTAGCATGCAATTTAGCTTTAAATTGGAAAAGAAAAAAATTGAAATTGGGAATTTTAGCATGGAAAAGCGAACCATTAAGGCAACTTCGAGCTTCAAAAATGTGTCAGAGATGGTTCTCGATAATAGCGAGATCATCTGAGACGCTCCTTTGAAAACTCGGTCATTATCATAAAATAAATGGGAATATTAAGGGAAAGTTTGGAGAAATTGCGAAAATCAGAAAGAAAAACTAGTTCCCTAGGGGAATTTCATGCTAAATTCATGCAAAATGTGGAATACTTTCAGTAAGGATACTCACCTTCGAACATTGAGGTCAAAAGTCGAAAAATTTCAGCTTTAACAAGCTGAATCTAGCAAAAATACAGCGAAAATGCGGCAGGGATCAGTTGATCGAGAGCGTCAGCAGTTATCGATCGGTAAGAGTCCAGAGCGGAAGAGTGGATAGACGGTGCGGCGGCGTGTGTTGGAGCGCAGAGTGCAGAATAAGAGACGGAGAGGCAATGATGATAATCTCCTGAAAGTTTTCGGCTTCTCATCGACACGCAGTCACCGGAACGCTCGCCAGTGTGGTCGTAGGGAACGCCCCACCGTCCGGTGAGCGCTCAACTGTAGTCATTTTTTCCACCTTTTGAAGATAAGGAGCTGCTAATCCAGGAGAAAGTAGCCAAAACAGTGAAAAGTTGGAAAAAATGACTAAATTAGCCTGGAAAAAGCAAATAGTTCCTGGCACGCGTTGCGGCCCGTTGATGACCGCCCTAATCAACTGCCCGGATGACGCCTTTACACAGTCTCACCGCCTACTTGATTGATGAGATTGCGATCGGTTCTGCCCTTTCTGGGAGATCTAGCTGACGCTTCCGGGAGTGATTCACCTGGAGACACCTACTCCATGACTCCGTGGAAAAACTCACCCATGGGCGTTGCGGCGTGTCTGACGTCACCGCGGCGGCAGATCGAACGATAAGACGATGACCCGCTCCTCCGCCACCGTTCTCCGATCAGCAGCCGCTTTTATGTGCAAGGAGAAAGAGAAAAATAGAGAGAGAAAGATTATTGAACAGATAGTGGATGCTTACATGTGAGTTAGTGGTAGTGATGAGAGAACACAGAAAAGTCGACTATTAGGGCGTATCACTTCAATAACGGCGGAACTGGCGAGATGGTTTCCCTCGATTGTGAAAACGAAGAGCTTTTACTCAAGCGTTTAAAGTGAGGTTTGACAAATTGCCAACAGTTGGATGTGACTTTCCAGCGGTATAACGGTAATCGAAGAAAACTATTTTGCCTGTTTCGCCATTTACTGAAGTAATTCGTCCTGATTGTCCACTTTTCTGCATTCTCTCACCACTACCACTAACTCACCTATGCGCATCGTCTATTTGTTCAATCCTCTTTTCTCTCTTTTTCCTTCCGCATAAAAACGGCTGCTGATAGGAGCACAGTCGCGGAGGCGCAGGCCCCTTCCCCTTCGCTCCGCCCTGGTGCCGCGCTAACGTCAAGACAAAGCCGCGCCGCATACGAGCTCGGGTGTGTTTTTCCCTCCTCCCTACTCGATGTCCTGTTACAGCGCTCTTCAAGTAGTCCGTACGGCGGAAGCGGGAGAGAAGTTATAGACAGTACCCACATGCACTCCCCTTGGAGTATTGGTCAACTAATGAGAAAAATTTTGACCGAACTTCAAAACTTTTTTAAGGGATCGAGGCCCTCTCTCATTTGTGCTTTGGAACCACTCAAATATAAGAACA